ACCGACACTCTCGACCGAGGCGACCGAGACCGAGACTCTCGACCGAGGCGACCGAGACGACCGAGACTCTCGACCGAGGCGACCGAGACTGAGACTAACCGAGATCGAGAGGCTCGGTCTCGGTACATCCCTAGAATAAAATAAACTAAGAATATTGTTCATTACGGAAGTTCATCCTTTTCCCGAAAATCACAGTTCGAACCAGGATGAATGGACAAAAAGAGATCAAAGCAATCAGATATTTTTCATCATCACGGATGTGTTTTTCAATCGAGAAAAATAAAATTTAAGATTCAGATAATTGGTGAAATCTCGTAACATAATATTTCTCGAAAATGAATGCGAATATTACACAAAACTGTGTACAATGAATCTTAGTGCTTCACATTTTCTTCTGTAAAAAATTTATTAAAAAGTTAATAAATATTTTAACTTACGCATAAAGATGATCACCAAATTGTTTAAAAATTTCTGCCATACCTTGTTTACTAGTTCGATTTTTTTTTGCTAATCTAAATAAAGAATACATCCTCATTCTATATAAATATTCAATAATGCAATTGACTAACTGTAATGCTAATTGAAAACAATTTTTTCTAAAAAGTAAATGTAATCTTGAATGTAAATCTTTTTCAATTAAACGATGTAATTCTCCATCACCAGTTAATATATGTATATAACCCCATTCATTAACAACACATTGTATACGTGGAATACCAACTGAATAAGCTGTTAATTGAGGATTTGTATCATAAACAGCTAATGTTTGTAATTCAGTTGTTGTTTGACTAAATACAACAAACAAAACAAATCATTTTTTAAAAAAAAATAAATTTTTACTTGGCTGTTAATTGTGATAAAATATTTGATTGTGGTTTTGTTGTTGCTGATGTTGTTGTTGTTGATGTAACTAAAGGTGTTTTTCGATTTTCTTTTGTAACTGTTATTAAATAATTAAACCACCAATGTACAGCTAATTTTTCACCTTCAATACCTAAACCAAGACGTTTATCATCACCAACATATGAAAAAACACCTGTTGAATTTGCAATAACAAATTGTTGTTCACCATCAAATTCTGATTGAGCTAAAACAGCACATCCAGGATTACAACCAATATGTGTTTCAAGCATTGCTATATTAAATTGTGCTGGTTGTTGTTGATGATGTTGTGTTAAATTAAATGGTCGACGATCACGTAATGTTGATGTTAAACTTGATGATACAGATGCAGCAACAGCAGCAGCTGTTGATATACTTGTTGTTGATATTGTTTTAATAAGACGAAATGAAAGAACACTTGATTCAGTTGTAGCATAAAGTATTAAATCATTATGTGGTTTTACTCCTTCGGAAAATGCTAAATTAGTTATTGGACGTTCAGCTGTGTAGAATGGTGGTAAGAATTTATATCGTCTATTTAAAAAAATAAAAAAATAAATTATTTAAATATATTTAATATGAATACAATGCAAAAATTATTTTCATATGATAGAAAATGAAATTTCTGTGAAATTTAACCCTTTACTCCCCCCGTGGATCATATATGACCCATTTGTGAAAACAATCACAGAAAATAAAGGAAGCATGAGACTGAAAAACTCCCAAGACATTATTTGTAGAGAACTTCACAAGCTATCGATTGGTAGAAAAAAAGTATTTTGTTGCATTGCTCTGCCTTTGAGATATATGACTTACAAAATCAAAAATTTGAAATTTTTTAAACAAAATGTTTTCCACTTGCAGTCAATAGAGACCTTTTGGAATTTCTGTGTGATATTAATCGATGAAGAAGTCCACTGCTGAATTAAATATGTTTCGAAAGCTTCATGATAACTCCGCGAATTATGCTTACTTAGGAATACAATTGACCATGTAGTCACTGTTAGACAGATGGAGGGGTAATCAAGAACAAAGTTAATATATGCGTTATAGACCTCAACTCATAAGAAGTCGGAAATAGTATTTATAATGAATTAAATTCCTCTAAATTGAATATTGGGTATAGATGAAAGTTAAGTCTCAAGAAAAGTCTCTAATAGAACAAATTAAGAATATCGAATTTGCATAGATTAAAAACGAAGGATTTTTTTCTTTTAAATCTAACTTGATAAAGAAATAATTTCAAAATTTTCTATGAATATTTTAAATATATACTTTTCTTTAATTAAATCATTTGATGCAAAAAAATAAATTCCTCCATTTTCACAACCAAGTGCTATATGACGATCTGTTATAGCTACAGCACATATCTATCAAAATATATAAACAAATTTTATAAAACAAATAAATAATTTGATCTACTTTTGAATTTGGATGATCATTTGGTAATAAAGATATAATTTTTGCTGGTTCAACATTTTCTTTTTCTACAAGTGCCTATATAATATTAAAAATCAATTATATTTTTAATTTCTATTATTATAAATAATTTAACTTTATCTGTTTTCCAAAGTTTAATTGTTTGTTTTGTTTCATTTTCATCCATCTTAAAAATATAAACTTTTAATTATATTTCTAAATTAATAAAATATTCTTACTCCAATAGCTATAAGTGTATCACCTGCTGAATGTGCTAATAATTGTAATGAAATATCATATTTATGAATATGATTTGTTTCATAATCACGATTAATAACACATATTGAACCATCATTACAACCAAATACTAATTGACCACCACCAGCACCATTTGTACTAGTTGATGCAATAACTTGTATATGCTTTATATAAGAAAATAGAATAAGAAAATATGATTTTGAATGATATTTTTTTTCTTCTTCTTTACTTTAAGTTCTTCTAAAGGTTTTCCATCTTTTCGTTTGACTATTTCTTTATCGAAAAAACTAAATCGACGCCACTAAATAAAAAAAAAGCAAAAGAAAGAAATTTTATTTTGAAATAATCTTATTTTATTTTATAGATTACTTGATGAATACCTAAAGCCATCTTAATAAAAATTAATCTGAAAAGAAAATTATTTATTTATTATTTTTTCGAAACCTATTTTTTAACTGTTTTATCATGAAGAAATTTTTTTTTTATATAAATATAATTCTTATAAATCGTATGAAAATAAACTTTTCAAAATATTTGATCATTAAATTATTTACTTATATAATTTATGCTAAAAATAAAATTAAGTTTTAGAATACATTTTCTTATCGAAGTTTGAAATATTTTGTTACATAATATTGTTCATTCAACAAATAAATTCTTTATGTATGTTAGAGGTAAAATTAGTATCGATTCAATTCGGTATTTGTATGGGTTTCAGATTGATTTCATCTCTGACATATATGAATGAAATCGGATTCTTTTTTTTTTAATGATTATTCGTTGCTAAATGATGATTACATTGAATAAGTTGAAATATATTTGTTTGAATACCAAATTTTTAGATGTTAGTTAGAAAATTGTAAGTGTAGTATTTAAAATAATCTTTTAATGTAGTTTTCAAATTTGAAAATGACACATATTTCCATTCATCTTCTTTGATTTGTCCTCTCTAAACTTCGCCTAATAACTATCTGCAAGACATAAAAAATAATCTTTTCATAATACATCATATATCTACAAACAAGAATGGTTTTTTTTTGCACTTATTTAATATGCCCATAAACATAAAAAATACTATCTTTTTTTTTTGTCTTGCTTGATAACAAACAAATACTGAGCACTTTGTTTTCTTCTCTGATAGGCTTAACAAATAAAGAAACAAAAAGAAAAATAATAATAATAATAATAATAATAATAAATGATAAATATGTATGAATCCAGCATTTAAAATAAGAAAAAAAGACAAAAAAAAAACAAAAAACATAATGCTTTGTGCTAATCTTTAAGAAAAAAAAACGCAACAAAGATAGGACGCAATTATATAAAAGCTTAAAACACATATCTATCATATGTACAAACGAGGAAAAAAAGAAACAAGAACTTGTTGCTAAATAAACTCGAACACCTGAGCATGAGATTAGAAAGCAGCGAACCAATAGATTTGACATATTATGAGAAAACTCGATAGTATCACACATCACCGGTTGTCAAAACAAATTAACAAACACATATATATAAATATATAAATCACACATAATTTTCACGACCTGTTGCTAATTTATTATGATTAATATGTTCAAAAAGTTTAGCTTTTTCTCTTACAGACCATGATATATCACATGGACGAAGTTCATCATTAATATCAAATGAAAATGATTTTATTGGTTGTGTTGTTGGTACACGTCGTTCAATTGATTGATAACGTGATATATTTGTTGATGAATTTTCATTTGTATATATACGATTTTGATTTATTATAATTGGTGTTGATTGACGTATTATTCGTTTTTCATTATGTTCAGGTTCAACTGATTTATAACGAAGTGCATTTTGTCTATGACATGGACGACGTCGTCCTCTTGTTGTTGATGTTAATAATAAATCATCAATTGGTTTCATTTGTATAGCTGTACCAAGTTTAAATGGACGACAATCAGAATGATGAATAAATGTTCGATCACGTTCAATTTTAATTTTTGTGTTTGAATTTGTTTGACTATGATGTTCATTATAATTATTTGTATATATTTGATTTGTTGTTGCTGTTAATGGACTATTATATCGAGAACGACCATCAATTATAATTGGTTGTTGTTGTTGTCGACTATGACGATCAATTGATAAAGATGTTTGTGTAGTAAATGAAGATGAATCAAATGTTTTATTTATTGTTGGTACATTAAATGATGCTGAACGTATAGTTGAAATATTAGTAAGACGTTGATTAATAGTACTTAATGGTTCACTTGTTAAATCTAAATCTTGTTGCTCAAGTTGTATTGATCTAAGATAACAAAACAAAAAAAAAAATACTTGAAGATTTAAGATATTTTTTTGTTGCTATGTAAATATTGTTTTTTTTTTGTTGTGTGTGCGTATGTCTTAATATAGCATTTCGTTAGAGATTGTTTATCGGAATAATATAACCATCCCTTTTTTTTTTTACCTACCGATTTTATTTTTTACTTAAACTATTTATAATCTGTAAAATATACAAAAACTTTATTATTTGATATTTTGAGATAAGACTTCAAAAAAAATAGGAAAATATTTAAATGATAGAATGTACATAATTTGTTTTAATAGTATGAATCTATTGTTAAAATAATGAAAAAATATGACATACATATTTGTTTTTTTTTCGTTTAAAGTATATATTCTTTTATGAAAAATGAATTAAAAAAAAATTGTAAATTTACCTTGTTATCATAGAATCATCATCATCATCATTATTTATAGCTTTGGATTTAACTAATTTTATTCGTCGTTCATTTATTAAATTATTACTATTTTTTAATGATATTGAAGATAATATTTGTTCATTATGATTTGTTATTATTGATGTATCCTTTTTTATATTATTATTATTATTATTTAATGTTTTATTTTGTTCATTATCATCATCATCATTATCAGTTTCATCAGATAAATAATGAAATTGTTTAAGTGATGATGCACGTTTAACATCATTTATTAATAAATGTTTTGATTCATTAATTGATTGTTGTTGATATTTTTGATAATATTCTTTATTACCTAATGATGAATGACGTGATATTGGTTTTGATCGTTTTATTTTTCCTGTTGATATATTATTTACAGTTGTTGTTGATGAACGTATACTTAAATCACCAATAGTACCATTAAATTCATCATCTGTTGTATCATTTATTAATTTATCTCGTTCCATAAATTGTTTTGATGGTTTATAAAGATTTTTTGAATTACGAGAACGATTTAAAGATAATATTGTTGTTGTTGATGGAAGAATAATACTTGATAAAACAATACCATTACCACATGCTATTGATGTTGTCCAATTTGGTGGTATTGTAGAAGATGTATTACGTCGAAAATATTCACTTATTTCTGAACTATCATCATTTAATGGTTGATCTGATGTAGCTAAACCTGAATCACGAGATCGATTAACAATATGTAAATGTGGTGATGATTCAACTTCATCAAGACTTTCAATTGATGAAGCTGTTGGTCGAGCTTATAAAAAAACAAAAAAAAAAAAAAAAATGTTTTTTTATTTTTTATAAAAATTATTATTTTACTTAGATTAGGTATATGATGTACAATAATATGTTTATCAGGAATACATGTTAAAACATCAGAACCAAATATTGATGTACAATTAAGAATTAAAAATTCAACTATTGATGACATAACATCAGCTTCTTGTTTGCCTGATGCTATTGTTGTTGATTCTGTTTTAAATAAACTATTTGATACACATAAACCTAAATTAAATGGATTCATTCCATTTGTATCAGCATTTTGTGATATATGATGAAGTATACATATAAAACCTTTTAATAATATATGATTCGATTCTGAAAGTGTACTGATTATACTAAATAAAATAAAATAAAGAAATAATCGATATGATATAATATAAATATTTAATTTAATTATACTTTTTTCGTGCAAATGATATTTTTTCTTGTAAAGTTGAAAGACGAAGACATTTTTTCCAATTATCATATTGTATTGCATTAAATAATGGTTCAGATAATGTTCGTAAAAAATGCTAGAAAAATAATAATAAAATTAAGTAAGATTTTATTAGAATATCATGCAGGAATAAATACTAAAGGGATAACTCATTTCATTCTTCTTACCTTTGATTTTCCTATAATAAAAATATTGTTATTTCTATTTTCATACAATCTTCTTTGCTAAGTTTTCTTTTTTTTTGCATGTTAATATAAAACTTACTTTAAATATTCCAGCAGCTAATATTGGATGTAAATCTTCATCTTGTAATAAAATATTTCGTTCAATTTTATCAATTGTATCTTTAACTGATCGTGTATTTGCAACTTTACGAAAAATTCCTGTTGTTTCTGGTCCTTTGAAATAAAGTATTTCAAGTAGTTTCTAAATAAAAAAAAAAATATCAATAAAAAAATCAAATCAAAACAAAAAAGATTCAATCTACTTGAATAATAGGTGGTAATTGATTATCATATTTTTTAAATAATTCATCACATGTTTGTCCAAAAAATTGATTTGAAGATTTTATTCGTAAAGAATTTATTGTTGATAATGATGAATGATAATCATCATAATATTGTTGTGATTGTTGTATTAATGATTTTGTATGATAATCTTTTGTTTTACGTTTATGAAAAAATCTATGTTTTTTATTTTGATTATCAATATCACGTTTACGTAATTCAAAATCATGAGAATTTATTGATATATTATTTAAACTAGTTGTTGAACTATTATGTTGGGAATATACTGTTGCTGTACTATGTAATGATAAATGATCATCACTATCAAATGATGTATAATTTGATGTTTTTAAGTGTTTCATTTTTATTGCATATGGATATTCATGACCTATGGAATAACACAAAGAAGTCAACAAAAAACAAGAAAATCTTTTGATCATACTGTATGAATAACGATTTAAATTGTATCGTGATGTACTATGGCTTACTCGAAACATTATCGACTATCTCTCTATGCAGTTTAAATTCATCTTTATTTGTTCTGTTCTATTGAAGTTATTCTTTTTTTTTTCTGTTCTTTTACCTCAAATGTTTAAAATAGTTAGGAGTTCATATAGATCGTATGTATGTGTGTGTGTATGCGCATCGTCAATGTTTGTCTTAACTATGTACATGATCAAATATGTTTCACATTCTTTTTCTTTTTCGTTGAACGGCTTTTTTTTTTCATTCAACTCAAGCTAAGGATATACAATCGATTCTTTCTTCTTCTTCTTCTTCTTCTTTTTTTGTTTTGTTTAAACCACCAATCAATTCAGATCATTTTTCTTATCAAGAATAGGTTGGATATATAAATGAATGAATGTGTGTGTGTCACCTTTCTTTTTATTGTCTAATGAGGTGGATCAAACTTGTAGTGACTTTAGTTTTACCGTATGTGATTAACATACTCATGTCATAATGAAAGAATACATTTTCTTTTTCTTTTTTTGTTTCATTCTAAGTCTTTAAGAAATGTCAAGAATACATTTTATATGTAGGCGAACTCCTCCTCCTCTTTCTTCTTGCCATTTCCTTTTGATTTAATAGACAAACAATATCTATACTTTTATATTACCTTGTTGATGACGATTATGATCATAAACAGTATTAAGACTTTTCGAACGTATTGTTGCCATACGAATAAATGAAAAAATACTTGGATGATATCGATCATATTTTCGTAATTGTTTATTAGTCATTTTTTTTTTTTTGTTTTAAAAAAATGTTTCTTCACAACTTTGATTTGTACCCGGGAATAATACACAAATGAATTTGAGAATTGCGGGTTACATAAATATCTTAAGTACTCTTGTAATTTGACAAGAGAGAAAAAAAAATAGGGGACGAAAAATGAGAATTTCGATATGTATATATATATATATATATGTACTAGTAAAATAAAGTTTTTTTGTTCTGTATGTGTGTCTCTCTCTCTCTCTCTCTCTCTCGCTCCTTTTTTTTCTGCTATATCAAAACACGTAATATCATATGAATAAGAAAGAAATGGAATTTGAACATAGAAAAGAATTAAATTTACCTATTAATGGTATTATTTGTGCTTGATTAGATTGTAAAGAAGAATTTACTAGTTGATTGGTATTATTATTCGTATTTGATATTATATTTGAATCATTTAATACAAATAAAATATAATTATCTATGCATGAGTCCTTGATTTCAATAAGAAAGAAGAAGAAAAAAAAAATAAAAGAAAATAATTTAGTTTTAACATACTCGTAAATGACATGCATCAATACATTTTTTAATTAAATCTCGAACAGTTTCTTGTGGTCGAATACTAATTACTTTACGCTAGAAAAAAAAAAAAAATTTTTTTTTTTCTTTAATTTAAATATATTATTAAACTTACAATTAAAAATGGAGTTGTATTATTATTATTATTTTGATCATAATCTTGATTTTGATCAATTACAACACGAACATGTTCAATATTTGAATTATTTAATTGCCACCAAAAATTTATAGTTCTTAAAATAAATTAATTTTCATAAATACAAAAAAAAAGAAAAATTCTATATCGTTAGAATTAAGCTTGAAGAAATGTTTATTGAATATAATGTATTTCTTATGTTAGCTATTAATCATGTCTATTGACATATGAATAAAGAAAAAAGAAAAATACATAATTCTTGAATTATGAATAAGTTTATAGGGCAAGTTTATTTAATCGTTATAGGTAAAATGTGTCATAATTTAACATTGAAAAGATTTTATCAAAAAAAAAAAAAAAAATTTGTAAATAAATATAATTTTTGCTGATGAATAATTTAATAAATAGAATAAGAAAAATTATTCATAAAGATAAAAAGATATATTAGAAGATAAATATGTAATTTAATATTTTCAACAAGAATTTAAGAAGATTAAAATTTCTAGAAAACTTTCTATAGATTATATAGAGTAATATCTACAAGATTTTCAATAAAAATCTATGTGAACAAACACTCGAAATTGTTGTTTTTATTCTATCAAGTCGATTCGATCAAAAAGGAAAGTGAATTTATTTAACATAAATTTGTCTCTAATAGATTACTTCTGCTTCAAAATATTTGTTGTATAGAATTAACTTTAAAATCTTTTTTTTTTTTTTGTGATCGTCTTATGTATTTTTGTTTTAGCTTAAGGAGCTATTTAATAATCGTTATAATTATTATTATGTTATCTTAACTTAACGTTTTTTTCCTTTTTTTGTTTTTGTTTATAAGAATATAACTTACGATTGTATACGTGTATACCAAGTATCACGAATATTTTTTGTATCAAATTCAACAAGAAAATTTTCACCTAATGGCCAACCAATAATAAGTGTTCGATGATAATCATAATAAGTTAATGATGTTATTTCATTTATAATAGATTCATTTATATTTTCAATATTTGTATATATCCATATACGATTTAAATTAATACGATATTTTATTTTTAATAATGATTGTTTTATATTTGATTTACTTATAATTAATTCATTTTTATTTGTTATTATAAATAAACGTCTATATGTTCTATAATTATGATATAATGTTACATATGTCCATATATCATATGAATCAAATATACCAATAGATGTTAAACAACGTGTTATATTTATATCATTTGTTGTTATATCAATACTTGAATGTTTATTACCAAGAAAATAACGACTTATTGAACGAGATTTACGTGTTAATGGATGAGATTCACGAGATGATTTTTTTATTATATGTTCATCAATATGAATATTATCGTCTATATTATTATTCATTACCAATAGAGAAATAATATTTTATTATTATATAAATATAAGACAAGACACATCTAAATAAAAAACGAAAAATATTTTTTTTTTTTAAATTTTGTCTATGAATAAGTACGGATTTTTTATTTTCTTGAAGAGAAAAAAAAAGGAAGCAGTTATGTACAAGTTAAATTAATTAGATAAAAAGAAAAAAAAAGAAAACGAATCATGACGTAGTTTTCACTATCTCTATTGTATCATTATATAAACCAACCATCAAAAGTAAAACTTATATATATATGGTTTCATATTAGGTAGCGAAATCTATAGATGTCGATCTTGAAAGAAGTACTTTTTGTGTTATTCGTTTCTAGTTATGCTGATTGAATAAGACATAGAATTTTTTATTAATATAAACAAAGGATATTAGTTTGAAGTTTTCTAAACTGCGAATTCATCCTACAATATAGAAAAAAAGAATTTTAGCTTTCGGCTAATATCTAATATAAGTGTTCTGTAACCTAGGCAACGTACATGTGACCTAGACTCGAAGCTTGAGTTCGAGTACGAGCTTATCAGATCAGATTCAAGATATGATGCTATTTCCTGATCTGATCCGGTTCATTGATATCCAGTTTGTTTTACTTGATAAGTATACGCAAAAAAAAAACTGTTCGATTATGTCTTACATATTTGAGAATAATTCATGTAAATAAAAAAGAAAGATTTTTTTATGTTTGTCATAAATTATATAAACAACTGCTCTAACATATGAGAAATAAATTTTATTCGAAAATCAATAACCCTATGTACTTTAAATCAGACGAAAAAACCGACAGTAGTACGTTTGGCTATTTCGAAACTCTATACTAGTGTCATATACGGATAACTGTTCTGACCAACAATGTACTGTCGATAATTCGAATGAACGTACAACATGGGAATATATTATTATGATGGAAGAGTCAACTATATATATATATATCCATCATGGATATGACAAAATATGCTCAATAATATTACAAGAGTTTTAGAATCAGTAAACCAACAATTAAGATATGAATCACTTGATTTATTCCCTCTCTTAAACCCGCCCTCAGAATAAAAAGGCATGGCCTTCTATTATGTCCCAGTGAATCGGTCTTTTTTGGGTGGCGTTATATTATGTTTTGTCGGAGATTTTTTCACATTTTTCCTTGAAATTGGTATGGCGTTATATTATGTCCAGAGAATCAAACGGTCCGGAGTGGCCTTCTATTCCGGGTGCCTTTCTATTATAGGGTGGCGTTCAATTATTTTTTGGGGGGGAGGAGTTTACACAATTTCATATAATTTCTTTCTGCTTTTTTTTGTTGTTATTGATCTATTTGAATATAGAGGAATTGCACCCACACTACATAAATTACTGAAAGTACCGGCTACAGCTTGATTGCGGACATTCTTTTTTTGGCTAATTAAGGGAAAATGTCTGCAATCAAGAATCGGGAAGGGGAGAGACAAAAGTGACCGCATTGTAGAATCAAGACAAGATTCATTATGTGAACAAAAAATACAGAAAATTCATTGATGAAAAATAGTTAAGGGTATGGGTGTGGGTAAGAGTAGAATCCATACCCACATCCAAGATGTTTCGTTTACAAAATGGTCTGGACGACATGTGACGGTCGAAATTAGACTAGCTCGAAGCAGTTGATATTCTTCAATCGAGCTACCTGCACGAAACATCTTACTATATCTATTTTCGTTTGTTTCCATAATTGGAACATTTTCCACTTTGCGATCATTTTTGTCTCTCTACTCCCCGATTCTTGATTGCGGACATTTTTTTTCCTCCAATTAAGGAAAAACGTCCGCAATCAAAAAGACGCGGAAAGTGTCACTCATCACTGCCTCCTCAAACTTCAATGAGTTATGCTTTCAACACAAAAAAATGAATCACCCATAGAAAATCTATATAATTTGCAATCAATAAAGTTTGTTTGTACCTATACAAAATGTTGTCGTTTAGAAATAAATAACATTATTATAGACAAAGGAAACAACTAACAAAAAAATAACAAGACGAACATTAGTAACGTTTGAAACTTAAATATACATACCGAAGTTTATCATACAAAAGTCAAGATATTGATATTAATAAAATGAAAACTTTCCAACATTTTCTTTAATAAAATTTTTGACAAGGTCTTTCTTTAAATCAATTGAAGAAAAAAAAAACTCTTTTTCTGACTTACATAATCAATATGAAGTATCAGATGAAATTTGATCATCACTACCTTGACAAATGTTGTTTTTGTCACCTATACATATACATACATACATACATATATTGAAAAAGAAATGAAAGAAACCATTGAAAAAAAAACAAATGAATTGTTATTTTGATGCTCTTTTCTTGTACTATTCATCGACTGATGTGATTGATTTTTAATAATTTTAAATTATATATGCACAATAGACACTTGTGTTTTTTTGCAATCACTGAAATAATTGCATGTAATACAAAAAAAAAAAAATAAAATAAAAAGGAGAACAAGAAAAGAAAAAAAAACCAACGAATTGCTATTTTTGATTAGATTTTTCTATATATATACATACATATTTTAAAATCTTGCAATGAATGATAATAAAACTGTGTAATTTGAACAAGATTAAGAAATGAAGAGAGAACAAGATTTACTATTCTTTTTATAGAATAATTTTTTATCATCAGAAATGTGAAATCCAAGTGCTGCTGATTATGTCAACAAAAACCGTATATACTCCTACAAAAAAAAAAAGATTGTTTGCGATCGAAGAATGCATCTCCTTGTTGAGCATTGAATCATTTTGTTTGGTGTCTATGTATATACATGTCAAACAACCGGAGGCAATGCTTTACTTTTTTTTTTATGACGGCCTTAGTCAACTGATGATTGTGTCAAGAATGATAATTAAAATAAATGTGCCACTATCATCATCTTTCTAACGATCATTAATAAATATATTAATGTTTAGTATGCGTGTACATTTACTTACTTGTTTTTTTGAATAAGAAACCTAGACGAAAATAGGTCTTGTTATGAAATAATAGAGTAAGAGTTGTAATTCTAGAGTTTATGTGATTTATTTTTCAAGTTTTTCAACTTGATAGCATAAAGATAACCAATAAAACAGATTCAGGAGTCGCATTGTGCTTTTCGTTGTTTCATCAAAAAGAAAAAAAAAAACAAAATACATCAAAAGATGCAGTATGAGAAGTTGTACAATCTACATAATGAAGCTTATGTTAATTGTGTACGTTTTGTTTTCAAAGAAAGCAACACTCTTGACGACCAATTTTCGACACTCCGAAAAGTGGTCGAGCATTTTTTTTGAAAATAAAAAGTACACAATTAACATAAGCTTTACTATGTAGGATTGTAGAGCTTTTTACGTTGCATCTTGTAGTATGTTTTGTTTTTTTGTGAGAAAACGTATTAGACGACAAAAAGATGAAATACAAAAAAAAAATGAATTTCTCGTTTGTGTAGAAGAAAATTGTCTTTTTTTTTTCATAGTGTCGAATTTTGATCGCTCAGCATTTTGTCGATTTTACAAATAAAAATCTGCAACTAGAAAAGAAAAACTGTCTTATGTAAATTGTAGAGCTTTTTATGTGAAATCTTGTGGTATATTTTTTTTTTTATGCAACGTATTGAATGATTGAAAATAAAAAATGCAAAAGCAGCCATTCAATCTATCCCCATTCGTTACTTTTGTTTCTGATGATAGAAATCTGACCTTCGTTTGGGTATATTGAGATTTTTCTAAATATGTTAAAGATTTAGAATAATTTCTTCTTTCCAAAAAAAAAAAAAAGAATTGACTATCGGATAAAAGTATATTCGACATTATTCAAATCATGAATGATTATCATTTTCATTGATTGAACATAATGTTCTCTTTGTTCTAATACCTTGTCGTGGACATATAGTAAAGTATACAAAATATAATATCAGTAGAACAAAAAAGAAAAAAGAAATACTTATACAATTTCATCAAGTTTTTATTTCGTTAAATATTCGAAATAATCGTCCTTGTTATTCATAGTCAATCATACTTGTTGAATTTATTTATCGAACATTTTTATTCAAAGAATGTATCAACTTGTGTTACAGTATGATTCAACGATTTGCAATCGTTTTCACTACTTTCATTTTGTTTGATTAAATCGAATAACTATCTATCACATGATGTCACGGGTATAGGTGCGAACGTTGTTGAAAAGAAGACTTACATTGAGTTCTATATTTACCTACACTCATCTGGATCTTCTTTTTTTTGCAGATGTTCATTCGTATGGCATTCAAAGAGGATATTTGAATACGAGAATCGATTGAATCACATGTTTTATTGTATTGCACGATAACCATCAACAGAGAAATTTTTTCTCCTATTCATTTGTACGGGTGAAAAGGACCTGATGTTTCGACATTTCTTCGATTGGAGTAATATCTGAAAAGTCAGTTTGGTTTTGAGCTCTTAGTTTCGTACCCTGAGGCTTTATCCACTTTGATAAAGAATCAAGCTTCCTCTCGGTTTAAATTGATTCGCTTTGATTATCAATTCTGTCAAGTAAAGTAAGCTTTTTTATTGCTAGAATTAAGTTTTTATTTGACTTTCTCCAAGATCACTTTTGCATGAGAAGCAAGCACAAGAATGTAGACTGTATTCAGTAGACGTTTCGAAAAAACTTGTAAATCTAAATTTTTTGAACAAATACATAAGACAATCGGCTAGCATTGGATTGTTTTCGTTTCAAAATGTATTTGTTGTCAGATCAACTTTCATCGTTAGCGAAATTCCATGTCATTCTATATTGACTTCATTTCTAGACATTGTGAAATTTACTTCCATGCGTCCATTTATTCACATCTTGCTCCTTTCATCACAAACATTGAATTCCAGTCCGACCAATGACAATCTTTTCCTGCTCATCAATGAGTTCCTTCTCAAGACAATAGATAGATTGGAAGTGATTGACCATTCCATTTGGTGACGTATAC